TGAAGGTAACAAATGTTTGTCTATGTCCATTCTTTTTTGGTCTAAATACTCAACTGGCTGTTAAGTCTTTTAACTCTGAGTTCATTGGGAAAGGTCGATGGGTGGAGAGTACCCAAGATGGACAAGATGAGAGTTAACTTATTATCTAAAGACCTAGAGTCAATAGAAAGGAATGTCTGGTTTATGATGATTAGGGGTTATGAAGACCAGAGTTCTCTGGAGCAGACACCAAGGCCACCGTGGCTTCACCTGTCCCAACTTTATGGGACAGAATAAAAATTTGGTGGCCACTGATGTTGCCTCTGGTAAATCTTGGCCTAAAGAGGGAGAATGTAAACCAAAAATAAAATTCTAAGTCCCCCAACCACCTGAATGGACCCTTCCTCTTGGAAAGACATTCCAAAGCTAACCTGAGGGACTGGTTCAGGTAGTGATACAGAGCAGAGGGCAGACATGCTTCATATATGCTCCTCTCTTTTGGAATTGCTAATTGAACAGCCTCTTTCTCTGATGAGAAGCATTTACAATCTAATTTTTCTGAAGTCTAGATAAATTACTTAACTCTCAACCACTGCCAATCAGAAAAATTTTAAATCCACCAATAACTGGAAGCCCAGCTTTCAGCGGTCCCACCTTTCTGGATGAAATATTATGTCTCATGTATCCGTAAAATGTATAAAACTAGGCTCTGCTCAGACCACCTTGGACACATGTTCCTCAGGGTCTCCTGAGTGCTGTCATGGGCCATTGGTCCCTCATTCTTGGTTCAGCCAAAATCCCTTCTAATATTTTACAGAGTATGACTCTGTCAACAACTTCCAGTTAGGCAAAGATTTCTTAGCTAGAACATAAAAAACACAAGCAATAAAAGGGAAAAATTAATCAAAGCTTTTGTGCTTCAAAATATGTCATTAAGAAAGTGAAGATAAGCTGCAGACTAGGAGAAAGTATTTGCATATCGTATGTCTGAAAGAAGATAAAATCTAGGCTCAGTGCGGCTCACATCTGTGATCTCAGCACTTTGGGAGGCCAAGGTGGGCCAATCACTTGAGCCCAGAAGCTTGAGACCAGCTTGGGCTCCAAGGCAAACGCCCATGCCTACAAAAACACTACAAAAATTACCTGGGTGTGGGGTGATAAGTAGTCCTAGCTACGTGGGTAGCTCAAGCAGAAGATCACTAGAGCCTGGGGGAATGGAGGTAACAGTGAGCTGAGGCTGTGCCACTACACATCAGCCTGGA